TGCGGAGGGCAGAGCTGCCACTAATGAAGGTGAAGAAGAGACCTTCTTTTCTGAAAAAGAAAAAAAATAAACCCTAGAGGGCTTGGGCCTCGCCTAGAAAATGTCAAGTGCACCTCTAAATTTCATCTCTGCACCCATTCACTAACACGTCAGCATAAATATATCTATAAAATAACATGTCTTCTGCCAAATCATCAAACCCTTAACGTCGTTTGTTTCTATTTAACGGAAGGGACTAATTTAACTCAAAATTTTAAAAATGAGGATCTATTTCAAACACTTTTAAAACGAGAGACTAAATTGAGATTTGTCAACGAAACTGAGGACAAAATTGACTATTAAACCAAAATAATACAACACAATTAGATGCTTTTTCTTCTCTCATTCTTAAGAAAAAGAACGAAGTCGTTTACTTGTCAATTATTTGGTGGTTGAGTGATAGCTTTTTAAGAGAAAAAAAGAGTTATTAATCCTCATTTAATAAACATTGTATGAGGAAAAAACGTGGGCAACTAAATGTGATTAAACATATAATTACGTGCCACAATTTCTAATTTGTATAGAAAAAAGAAAGTGATTCTAAAGTTGGAGTTATTTGGAACATTTGATAATTGAGCAGTGGCCCAGTTATAGAAACTAGAAAGGGATAAAGTAAGTAGAATACTTTTGGGGAGATCTTTTTTTTTTTCTATTATTTTCAAATCAAGAAATACTATCTCTCTTTACTTTTCTTCCTCTTTTGTCCTCTACGTTTTAGTTTGTTTTCCAACCAGAAATTCCTACTTTAGTAATATATCTATTATTATGATTTCCAGCATGACGTAAAATGAGATATTTAGCTATAATGAAATATGCTAATATCACAATCATGAATAAATAAAATATCTAATTTATATAATGGGCAATAATTGCTGTATTTAAACACCCTTGATTTCTTTGGTTCAATGTTGGTTCGTGATGCTTTCCTACTTTTCCTCCATATCACATTATATTGTATAATCTGAAATGAATTTGGTTCTACTTTCTAAGATGCTATGGCATTTTCTGACTGGCATCTATGAAAATTCAAGATCACGTGACCTATGACATTTAACATGAGATGTATTTCCTATGTGTTTCTGTGGTGGTTGGAGCTAGTGGAAGTAATTGAAATAGATATCATGAAATATGGTCGGCCAATCAAATGAGAAATGCGGCAACCTTCATAACGAATTGAGCTTCACAAACAATTGCACAATTAAGAATGGGATATCATAAAAAACCAACTCATTTCTCTCCCTCTTCATTATCATTGTGATAATCAATTTCTCACACTAACCACTCATTACATTCATCAGTCTCATTCAATACGATAGGGTTTATTTCATCCCTAATATTGTATTTTGAACAAGTTGTTGATTATTATTTATGTAAACCAAATCATGCAACCTTTTTATGGTCCAAATCTATTCATTTTCTTTGAATGAATCTACATTATGAATAAGTAAAATGTGAATTAATTTCTTTACACACTTTACAAATAAAATAATAAGGAAATGAACCATGTCTTATTACTTGCTCAAAAACACTGCAATTGAACTCACATCTTGATGAACTACATGTTAAACTTAAAGTCTTGATTGCTAGCTTTTGTAAGTTGGGATTTGCATGCCCATAATTCTTCCACCTTTGAGCTACAAAAGCAAAGAAACTAACCATTTTATTTTAGTGCAATTTAGAACATGCTTAAGTGTCTCACCTAGGCTGTGGTCTTCCTTGATTCTTTGGAAAAGTTATCACCAAAGACTCCACTTACACTCTTATAAAGAGGCAAGTTAGTTAAAAAAATTGTTGCACATATTTACTTGGCACCAATCACCTAATGCAAGCATACAATCCATTTGTAACTTCCAAATCATATTCCATGTTTGGGTTGGAATAATAGAACCCTAGGTTCAAAAAGTGACCATTTGCATGCAAGGGGCAATGAAGATGACATGTACATCAGTTATCAATTGTAAATACATCATTGTGTTTACTTTGATTGTTGTTGATGACTTCATTATTGTTTCCTTGGATTTCTCTATTGCTTCATATATATAGTTCATAGTTGATTTTCTTTTCCCATCCATTAGACGAAGCACATGAACAAAAGGAGCCATAACTTTGAGAATAAATACGACATGATTCTAAAATTAAGGAACAAGAACAATTTTTGTAGTCTCCCTCCCCTTAACTTCCTTAGATAGCTTGTTATTGTTCCATTCATCAGAAGTGAACATCTTTCTCAAATTTCCCTTCTCTTAATGCAACCTTTGTAATAATAAATAAGAGGTAGCAACCCTTATAACAACATGTCTTAATAATTTCCTCTTATCAAAGTAAGCTTTCCAATGTCTTCAAGTATCAAATCTATAAAATGGACAACACAAGGAGTCCAATAGAGATAAGGTCTTTTATATCCAATAACTTACTAGCCAACACATAATTGCTCTCATTATCTATTATAACTTAAACAACATTTTCTTCTCCAATTTCCTCCACAAGGAATCAAGCATCTCAAATAATTTTTCTCTTGTCTTCACAAATTTAGGAACCATCAATGGACTTGACTAACATTGTCCATGCAAGGGAGCTCACCACAAAGTTAATCAAGTATAGTTGTTTTTGGTCAATCCATGCATATGACATAATAGAATTGCTATGTTTGTTCCATTGCCTGTGATCCTGCAACAACTTCTCAATGTAGTCAACTTGTGGAACTCTAATTTCGTGATAAGTAAAAATTGGTAAATTAGGTCTATAAGTACCTATGGCATCAAGCATATCTTGAAACTTTTCAACCTCACAAGATTGAATGACAAACCAACTTGGTAATATATTAATGAATCGAGGCCTTTAAATTTTTGTCACATGTCTCTTTAATATGTATTACAACACTAAAAAAATTATTATTTAGTAGAGATTTATTTTCCATTTTGCTGAGGTTTTTACCCTTCGTAAATTAATTTTCAACAGTTTTTTAAACCCCTGCAATTAAAGTCATAACTATTAATTTGTGGAGATTTTAATGGTCTCTAGTGTCCGATTTATATCGCAAAGATCTTTTTGTGGAGGATTTTAACCTCTTCTATTAGTGATTATTATTTTGTAGAAGTTTAAAACCTCCTTTGTTTTCAACTATTTTACTACAAAAATTAACCCTATTTTTGTCAATTTTTTTGGATTAATACTTTATTCAAAATTATAATTTAAAGGTATTAAGTCGCCTCATTTGTATTATTTAGTTTGTGATTTTACTACTTTATTTTGCTTGTCTTACATATGACAATGTCACCGTTAAGATGCTTATATTTTTGTCAACAATATTTATTTTTAACAAGATTAAAATACGGTAATAAAAACAAAAAAGCACGACAAATTTTTTTACCAAAGTATTGAATTATATATCATTAAAACATTCAATTCTCAAAAACACAATAATATATAAAAGTAAGTTAAATTGAAACATAATTACAACTAAATTCATAATTACTCAAAATTCATAGACTAAATATAGTTTCATCCTAAAAGACATTATAAACTCCTAAATGTTGCCAGCACGAGATGATCCTATTATACCCAAAGGAGACTCGGGCTCATTTGCATCACCTCCTTCCTGAAATAAACAAAAATATTAAAAATAATAAGGATTGCCTATAATTAAAGTATATCAAGCATAATGCTTCAACTATGCTTCAATTATATTAGTAACTTACTTGAGGTTGATGATCAAATAATAAGGTCAATTCATCATAAATCTTTCATTCCTTCGATATATGTATGCTTTAAGTGCACCCAAGGTTGTTTGAAGTTGAGATTCTAAATTGTTGTACTTTTGTTGCCACTAATTAGAAGATGATGATGGAACATTGGTATATGAAGAAAAATCATTAAATTCATAATGATTCTCCCTTGACCTTTCATTCAGAACATCGTTTGCACCTACAGGTTGTGACTTGCCTATATTAGTACTTCTTGCCTATAATGCCCAAATGCATCATTTATCATTATTTCCATTAGATTTTCAGAATGAAATGTTTCTTGTATATCGTCTTCATTTCCTGAAATATCTTTTGTTTGCTTCTCACCATGAAGATTCCATATAACATAATTTTTAGGAAATTGTTTTAAAATCAAGTGCTCCTCAACTTCAACTCTATTATGCCATTTCATAAACCCACATTTCAAAAGCAAAATTTAAGAACTTTTCTAAACCAATAGAGTATTCAATTGTATTTAGAGGCTTAGTAATCCAAGATTTATCCAATCAAAAATATTCCTAAACAAAATGAAATACACTATCACATCAAGGAGATAACAATATTCATGGAACTAAATGTTTCCAAATGAATTCAAATGTACTAACCTTGAGAACTGTGAGATTCCAAAGTTTGATGGCAGTATCACAATTGAAAGAGGGTGAAGGTAACATGGTTCCATGAGTTACAAGGACGAAAGCATCAACATCAATAGAGAGATAGATGAATATGGTTCATCTTTTGCCATATTTTGATATTTATTAGACCAAAGATAAATTTCAATTCACATTAAAGTTTAGTGATTATAAATAAAGTAAAAATAATGACCAAAGTTGTATTAAAGAACTATTAATATTATTATAAACAATTTTTAATAAAATTTTAAAAAATGTATAACATGCAGGCAAATTAGAAAACATAACAGTATCACAATTGATATATAACTATAATGTCTATATTCTAATTTTTCTAGCATGATTAAAACACTTAAAATCTATTCTAATTTTTCTTACCATGACTAAATCATTTAGAATAACACGTTTTTCATTCAGACTACATCTACACCAATTACTCAAGCTAACAACAAAGTATATGACATCGCTAATAATACTTCAACCAACAAGATATGCCACTCTAATTATATAAGATTTAAAACATTCAATATCTAAAGTAAAAATAATTTATTAGATATGTAATAAATGATATATCGTTTTACAAAACCCTTAACATTTTATTCAACCATATACACAATCTTAAAGAATAGAATCAGAAACTTTATCTTCAGCACTTTCTTGAAGAAGAGACTCGTAACCTAAATCAGAATAAAAATACCAAATGACAACTTATTATGGCAAAAAAACCTAGAATAGAAAATTTCCAAGAATATTTAACAAGGCAACTAACAAAAGGAGGGAAGCAATAGGGAAAAGCTTACCATTCAGAATAGATCGTTTAGTTGCCTTTGCATCATACTGAAATATACACAAAGGAAAAAAAAAACAAGGAAAATACTTAAAATAATGAAACAGATAAAAGTAGATAAAAAACAAAATTGTTTACATTTTTAAACAAATATCACTAGAGGACACAAGAATTCTTTTGGAATGATCAGATCATCATCTGTAAATCAAGCTAATTATTCCTTATTAGTTAAATTGAGACTCATGCATTAATCATCATCTTTTGGAATAATTGTGTATGAGATCGTTTGTTTCTAGAATAAGTCATAAGGGATGTTGTCATCAATGTAGAGTGATAAAGTTATTTAAAAACGAATATCTATAGTTATAATATTAAAAGGAACAAATCATTCTTTAATGAGAAGAATCTGATCTGACAAAAATAGGTTTAGAGGGTAAAAGCCCATATCCCAAAATAATCAAAATAACACTCAAGCATAATTCCTTTTCTTTTTCTTTTTATGTATTTAAATCTTCAATTCATTTTAAGAGGATTGGGTAATAAGGACTGCACTTGATAATTTCTGCTTGCATGAAGAGTTCAATTGAATGCAGTTTGTGGTAGAATCCTTCACTTCTGGAACCACTATCACTGCAGAAACTGGACATTATCTTTAGATTTTGTTAATTTTACTGAATTAGTAAATAGATTTCATAGAGTTTTAGATTACTCCAGTACGTACACATTTCCATGCAATAAAATATGGAGCAATAACTTATGATTTGAAATAGTGATCTTGGCTAAGCCTCCTTTCTCATGTAGTTTTCTGCATATTGGTAGTTTGGTGGTTGCAGAATACTAAGTTTCCGGATTCTAATATTTCTTTCATGATTGAATTGTTCCACTGTTTGTAACAGTTTTCATTTTGTGAGAAAAATCCCTACATTGTAACCACAAAGTTGAAGAACTTTTCTGGCTTTTTATGTTTCTCTGTAGAACATAATTTATGTAATCTATGTAGTAAAAATCATCCACCAATACCAAACCTTACTGCTGTTATTTTACCCATTTATGACATAATTTTGTTCTGGGACTTGGTCAGAATTAATAAGACTGTCAAAATAACACTCATTTACGACATAATTTCAAGGCCGTTCAACACTCAAGCCTCTCCAGAGCTCAGTACCGTACAAATCTATCAATTATCAATAGTAGTACATAGTGTTCCATCGTCTACAATTAGCAATTATATGGACAGATCATGCAACAAAAAACATTGAAAACAAACTACAAAATCGCATACAAAATACTTCCAAAAAAAACAACTAATTGACCTACGACAAACAATTGCAATCATCAAACCACGAAATGGGGAGAAACATTGTTCAGAAAATAACAAAACATGGGCAACATAGTTCTTTTTTAAAGCGAATATCCAATCTGGAGCAAGGGTCAAACAAGTACCGAGATTAAGATATACCAATTTCCTATTAAAAAATTATTTAATGGATGAACGAGTAAGAGTGTGGAAGTGAAAGAACTCAATTTATCCATGTCGGAGCAGAAGAAGGTTCGGAAGAAAAATCAGAAAAACACGACTAGGTTGAAGAGTTAAACCTGGCCGCGAACGTACTGGTTTCTTGAAGGCTTGAAGGAGACATGACTTGCGCACTGGTTTCCTAAACCTGCCTGGCGACCACACTTGCTGAACCTTGGCTGACGAGCACAGAGAAGAGAATGCAACAATGAATTGCTCCACTAACAACGATCAGAATGAATGGAACGCAGGTTTTGGGCGAAAGTGAAGTGAAAATTGGGAGCAAATAGAAAATGAAATTTGGAAGCAAGGGTTTGATGAATCTGAACTTTTAACTTAAACTCCCGCTTAAGTTTCGAAAATTTAGGGAAAAGGAAAAAAAATTTGGAAAATATGAGATTAAGTGAGAAGATTAAAACTTTAAAAAATTATTATGAATTATGGAGGTTATAAACCTCTTAAAAAAAATTAAAACCCTTACAAATATTACCAATCAGACAACCCAAAATAATCATTTTATTTGTGAAGTATTTTTATAATTTCCACAAAATAATCTTTATTAAATAATATTTTTTTAGTTAAACAATATTTTAGAACGGTTGTAAGGAAGTCGATGTGACAAAATACACAGTAGAAAAATTAAATTTTTTTAGCATTATATAACATCGGTTACTAATGACAGGCGATGTAGTATATCTTGCACACATCGGTGTATGTCCTAATTTTCATTTTTATTTCCCTCACTCTCACTCTTTCTTTGTTCATCTTCATCATTCTCGCGTGTCCTTTCTCTTCCATCTTTTTTATGTCGTTGTTTCACCACCCTGTTGGACAATCATTACCTCCATCTTGATAGACCGCTTAACATCGTCACTTTCTCCGCATGCATGAACTACTCGCACCATTGTCTCTGTCGCAAACATGGACGGTTATTAAGGTTGTTGATTTCTTTGCATGCCTGGACCGTTAGCTGCACCGGTTTCTTTTCACGCTTGGACCGTTAGAGTCATTGGCTTCTCCGCATGCCTAGATTGCTCACGCCATCGTTAAGGTTAGTGTTTCTTCTATGTGCCACTCGCGATCGTTTTTCTTGTTCTCTGCACCATTCATCTACGAATTTAATATCATGTTGCACCTACACCACACGTTACAACATCGTCCACCACTCAACTACAAGTAGGTGTCTCATAGGCCTATGCATTATGATTTCAAGTGCTCATATTCTACATTGGTTATTCATAACCGATGTAATATGTTTAGACTTTATACACTCTTTAATTCTACATTGGTTACTAGTGGATGTTAGCTTGCCTTAGTTTTTTCCTTCTTTTTTCTATTGCAGCAGCTGGATTTCTACAAAACATATCCATTGGTCCTTTTCTTCCACCGTTTTTTCTCCCTTCTATCATTATTAGTAGTGGAAATTTCAACTTCATCTTCACTCTCGTTATTATTTTTGGCTGCACTATATCTAGGATTGACGGAGGAGTTGTCTACTTTCTCTCTATATAATTTCCAAAGCTCTTCTCACATTTTTCGAAGACTTGGTGCAAGCATCAACGTTGTTGCTCTAGTAACTCCTCCTTTCATAACTTTCTCACAATAATTACAAACAGTTGTATTTAAATTTGATTAATTCATTGGATGACAGTGTTTCTAATTCGGGTCAATTCTGTTGGATGTTCTTAAACTGTCCTGGCCATTATTGTTGCTGGAAAATAAATATAATTTTTGAAAAGTAGTTAGAGTGAAAGTAGAGAAGTAGAAAAAACATACTAAAAAAAAAAGAACAAACTTAGCGACAGCTGACAGGTTAAGTTAAATAATGTTTTAATGAGTCTTAAATCCTAAACCCGATTTTTACCGTTATTACCGTTATGTTTTAAACACTCGGAAAACACATATTAGGATGTAATTAAGATTTAGTGTGCACCGTTGCCATTACCCCTATCTTTTCCCTTGGCCTTTTTTGTTCAAGTTGTTGTCTTCTTCTTTCTCCACCTCGCTTTTCCCGTCATTATCTTTCGTCACCGTCAGCCGCCGTGAAAAAAAAACGACCATCAGGGCCCTCAAGAAAAAAGACGAATCAGGGGCCTTCATGAATAAAAGCGACCATCAGGGCCATCACGGAAGACCCACTTCGCCCACTTCCCTGTTGTGGCAGTAGGTTGTTTCCACCATGGTGTCGTCACGGCCGAAATTTGATAACACTGAACTGCCTTGATCCTAAAAACTATGCATGTGCCCACAAGAGTAAGATTATACGTAGTGCAAAACTTTTTTGTAGTACTATAAATATTATCTGTATTGCTCTCTGATCAAAATTATCTGCAGTAATTAAATGGATTTGAGAGGATTTGAAAGTAAATTTTTTGTTGGTTATTTGAGTAAATCTGGAGGTAAATGAGAATAGATTTGGAAGTAAAGTTTGTGAGAATTAATGTAGAATTTGATTGATGTGACAGATTAAAAAAATTTACTTTCGAATCCACTCTTACTTATCTCCAAATCCACTCAAATAAACAACAAAAAAATTGTACCTTCAAATTCTCTCAAATTCATTCAAGTGAACAAAGTGTTAGAGATGGAAAAAATGAAAGATTTGTTCTCTACTATTTACTTATCAAGGAGTCAATGTAAACCAGATGACAAAAGGACAACTAAAAATATAGCACAGCATGCCCTGGGGAATGAAACAATTTAGGAGGGAAAGTTTTAGTGAAGATGTCAAAAAAGCTAATGTAATGAAGAAACTAGAAGAAGATTCATGAGACCAAAGAGGAGTTTTTTCCAAACCAGGTGACAGTCAATTTCCAGGTGTGTGTTCTGAAACACGGGTTTTTGCAGCAATGTAAAGTGTGCTTTGACTGTCACAATATAAAGCAGGGCGTCGTATAAGGGAGACTTGTAAATCTTGAAGCAAATAGAGTAGCCATTGAAGCTAGCATGTAGTGGAGGTGAGCGCTCAATATTCAGTCTCAGCAAAAGATCTAGAAACAGTGGATTGTTCCTTAGTCAGCCATGAAACTAATGAGCTGCCAATAATAAAACAATACCCAGTGATGGAGTGTCGAGTGTCTACACACATGTGCCAGTCTGCATCACTGAAACCAGAAAATTGGAAGGAAGATGTTCGACTAAAGAAGAGACCCTTCCCAGGACAACTCTTGAGGTATCGAACAACTCGTAAAGCAGCTTGGAAATGGGATTGGTGGAGGCAACCACGAGATATGAGATTGTTGGCACGTTCCCAAGAAGGATAAACGAGATCAGTGGTAGCTGGCACAGGTATGGTCCCGTTCAAGAAATCCATTTTGCTTTTGGAAATTAAAGTCATATTCATATGGAACGTGACCACGAATGGTAATTGCTGCGAGTTAAGGCTAGAATGATAGAGACTGAAGAAGTATTTTCACTAGGGCACTACATATTAAGGGCTGGAAGGATCGATACAAGGATCAGACATTTGTAAAATGTGAGAATTCTTATTGATGGAAGACATTTACGGAGGAATAAGCATAGCTCCAATCGGATTGGTGCTCTGATACCATAAAAGGAAAAGAAAAAAAGAAGCGTAAAAGCTGAAAAAAAAGAACACTCAGAGGAAATGAAAGATTTGTTCCCTACTAATTACTGATCAAGGAGTCAATATAAACAAGATGACAAAAGAAAAAAACTGAAAAAATACAGCACATGTCATGGGGACAACTAACATAATACAGGAGAGACAAGGACAAAATAAGAATGAAACAAAATTCTAGAGTTGTCCAATCAGGTCTGTGAATTATCCGTAATATTCTTTTCTTTTAACAAAGCAACATAAAATATAGATGTTATTAAAACCAAAAATTCAAGGTATCATATCCTTTAAGCAGAATTCTTATGGCAGAAACATAAACTACGAATACTCTTTTCTTCATGGAAGCAGAATGTCTATGAAAAAAGACAAACTATATAAAAGAATTCATATATTACAGAGATTTAATCAAATAATAGTAATATAAATCACTTCAAAATTTAACCCCAACGGAATCAACTTCATTTTTTTCTAAACAAATGACGACAGCCTAAGAATTGAAGTTCTGAATCGATATATAACGTATTTTTCATATTAACTAACCTAAGTTACAACAAGAAATTGACTTCTATAAAAAAGAGTAAATTTAAAATAAGTAAAAAAAGAAAAAAAGCACAAATACCCGCTTGCAGATATATAACTTGGGAGTTCAAAAAATTAAGAAGCTTGCAGAGTTAGTAAGATTTAGCAAAAATAGCCACTTCTTCAGCAGGATTACCGGTCATCAAGCATGTTTTAATCCCTTTTGGCTGTTCAAAAGGATAACACCTAATAGTTGCTCCAGTTTCTTCCTTCACTTTTAACTCGTCCTCATCACTGTGACATTATGTAAAGCTTGATATTAGAGTCGTGAATTAATCAGGTTCCTCTCTATATACATTAGAGTTAGACGTTATCTTCTCAACGTCAAAACATAAATATTTAATGGCAAAAAGTAGGGGGGAAACAACCTAGCAGACCAAGGGCCCCTTGCCCATTTCCCTTCAGATATTGCAGCTTTAAGATCATTGTATGAGCTTACATCTACGATATTACTGCGAGAACGAAACTGTGCATGTCAATTTGCCTGCCTACCAGTGAAGCCCGGAACATATTTGCAATTGAATGAGCATAACATGCAGAATAAAAAGTGAAGCTTAAGAACTTAGGGAAAAGTAAGAAGGCATTGTGTTTAATCGCATTTTAATAAAACCTTACTACAGGAAACCCTCATTCCATTTGGTAGCAATAGTTTTTGTCACCACCAAAGCATTAGAGATAGTTCTTAATGAAGTTCTAGACAGGACTTGGTTTGGTCAGTCCAGTAATTCACGGTGCAAATATCTATTTACAGGTCAGATCTGAATTTAGAACGGAACCCTACCAGACTCAAACCACGTATTTGTTATTGAAGTCAATCAATGCACAAAATTTTCTCCACAGAAATTATGCAGGCAAAGTACCAAACTGTTTTGACAGAGCCCAAGATTAAGCAGTTATACTACCATTACTATTTTTATATTCAGGAAACAAATGGCTAATGCGACTAACATTAAAATTAAAGTGGCTATTTTGAAGAACTCAAAAGTATGTTAGAAAAGTTATGTATAGGAGTCACAAGCCAAAGTAGAATTGAAGGAAAGAACCTGTCTCGAAATGCAATTGCTCTTTCCAAAAGGGACGACTGTATCTCATCTAACTTGTCTTTAACATAAGCCTCCAAATT